ACTGGTCAATCATCACCAAGTGGGTAATGGATCGCCTTCACGTTCCAATCATGGCAGACTCTCTTCTCTCCTCTATTGCTACTTTTCACACAACGAAGATAATTGTCACGGATCCCACCAAGTATTCTTTCACTGGATCCATCCCTGACACCATGCTTGCTTGTCTGCCTGACGCAAGTAAACTTCTGCAACAATACAGGGAGCTTCCTTCTTCGGGTCCACGGGAACTAACCCTAGCCATGGTTCGATCCATTGAAGAAGATGACAAGCCAGCCAAGAGGGGAAAGAAAGCTGTGACTCAGAAGGAGACGAAGGTTGCTAAAACAACCAAAGGTCAAACCCCTACGAAGCGAAGGTCAGACAAGGCCGCTCTGTCCCAGCCTGAACCCAAGAAGCAGAAAAAGCCCGCTCGGAGACTCATACTCCAATCTTCAAGTGATTCAGACTCAGAGTATGTCCCTCCCAAACACACATCTACTCCTCCTTCAGAATCTGAAAGCGAAAGCTCTGACGAGGAGGCTTCGGGTCGTGGTAATACCCCGCCTCGCTCTCCTAACCCCGAAATTCCAGTTCACTCCCTCCCTCCTTCTCCTCCACCCGTTTCTGTCCCAGTATCCATACCTCCTATATTTCCCATCTCTACATCTCAACCATCTAACACTACTCCCATCCCTAATCCAATCTTTACCAACACTACCACTACCACCACTACTACACAGGCTCATTCTTCAGCTCCTATCCCACCTGTTACCACTGAACCTCCTGTCACAACCAAACCCTTATCACCTACCCCATCTACTGACACCACCCCTATTCTTGGAGGTGAGGACTTGGAATTTGATTCCACCTATTTCAGTCCTTACCGTGTCCAGAGTGATGAAGATGAAGATGCACCTGTAACCAAGCGTCATCTCAAAGCAGTCAATGATAAACTTGATCAACTTATTTCCTCTTCTTCCTCTGGGGCTTATTCAGATGCTGCTCTCAAATCATTATTTTCTTCTGTTGTAAAAGAACATGGCGCATCCCTTTCAGCTGCAGCCAAGGCTATCGACGCCTCCACTTCCCAGTGTCAAAAGGCCTCGCTTGCAGTCGAGTCCTCCTCTAACGAATGCAGAGAGGCGACCGCAAAAGTCGACAAACTAATTTCCGAGGCTAACCTATTTCTAGATTCATTGCAGGCTGCTGCTCAAAGAATGCTAAGACAGTAAATGATTCGGTTGCAAATCTTCAGCGTTCTCTAGCAACCGAACGAGCTAATCTTGAAGTTGCCCGAAAAGCCATTGAAGCTGCAAATGTCAATCTGCATGATAAAGTCAATGATCGCTTAACTCAACTGGAGGCAGAATTGGCAGTTGAAAATCGAGTCATGGATGAACTCGACAAGCGAACCTCTCAACTGAAAATCCAGAATCTCAAACTTCGCACTGCAACAGCTGAACTCAATGACTTGAAGTCTGAGAGGGAAGTTATTCGAGGCTCAGCTGCTGATGTTCACTCCATCTTACTTCACCTCCTTGAAGCCCATGATCCTATCATCACCATCACCACTCGCAGGCATTTGGCTGATAAACTTCGACCTGCACTGGCCATTCTTAGTCGTATTGAGGGTGTTCCGGTGCCTGGTGTCCAACCGAAACAAGGGGAGAGAAGAAGAAGGTTAATGAAGCTTCGGTCAGTGATAGATGCAAGAAGAAGAAGAAGAAAATTGGTGAAGATGATGATACTGATGATGATATTGAAGATATTTTTTAAACCAGATCCCTCTAATCCTTTTCAGAAAACAAAGGCATCTGATAAGGAACTTGAAGAAAAACTGATGAAGGAATCGATAGAGCTTGAAAAGAGCTTAAAGAAAAAGAGCTCCTGGAAAAGAAGAAGTCCATTTTTCCTATGTGGACTCTTGATTCGCTTCAAAAGTGTGCTATCGATGAACCTTGTACATTGTGGCTTGAGCCTGTGATGTCGTTTGGGCTTGAAAACTCCAAGGATGCACAGTTTGACATGCCGATCATGCGAAAGGCATTCATCTTTCACTGCTTTAACTCAACTTTTCTATTCCCTCTCCAGACCCGAAGGTTGATCGGGATCTTTTGGAGTTCTATCTGGAGTTTGCTCAGCCACAGCACCTGACATGGAGCTTACAGAAGATTACTACTGTCAAGGTTCTGAAGCCTTACTCAGCAGGGAAGTTTGTCAATGTGAAATTCAAAGTGACTCGAGGCTCTGAAGGCTCGGTTCATAACTTCACCCTTGCTGATCTACCGAACCTCAATCCCCACGACTGGATACTTCTCAACAACATCCTGATGTCAAATCCACAGGAGTACCAGCCGATCATTGACCATATCAAGCGAATGCTTGTATGCTACATTCACGAAGTGGCGAAAATGGACCAAGAGATCGCCGCTGCCATTCACAAGCGTCCAACGATCAAACCTTCCGGTAGAATGGGCGATGTGAATGTTATGGTCAAGGGTAGAATCGACCCACAGTCTCACACAATAATGTTTGTCAGAGACGAAAAGCAAAAATGTATCTTCGCTCTGTGTGATAAGCACTTATTCTCAACTGCTTGCTTGGAACATATCTTGGAGATTATCCACAAGTGCAATCAGAATTCTACAGCCGATAAGAAGTTGTTTACTGACATGCTACGATGGTACATTCAGTTTCGGCAAACACTTCTTGCAGTCATCCCTCGGCTGTTCAAGGTTGTCAAGACTGTGAAGCCTACTCAAAGAAATTGATCTCTCGCCTCATTCGACGCAAAGGGGGAGATTGTTGGGCTTATAGTGTTGCGTCATGGGCTCGGTCCTTAGCCCAATTTTGATTGCCGGTTTGGGCCTGTCCAACCGTGCATGTTTTCTCTAGGGTTTAGTATTTAAGCTGCATGCATGCAGTCTTTGGAAATACACGCTTTGCTTTTTATTCTTTTTGAGTATTGTAAACCCTAGCTCGCCTCTACAGTGGAAGTTCTTCATAGAGCTCTGCTGAGGCGTGACTATATTTGAATCATAAGCATATTGTTGATTCTGTTATTGTGTTTGTTTTGTTTGATCTTTATCTTTTACCTGTGAAAGATCTAATCGATCTGAGATCAATTCTCATCACCTAAGTTCACATGCAACCTACTTTGGATCTATGTTTTAACTATTGAACATATAACTTTGAATTGCAAAACAAGAACCCTAGAGAAGAGAGGCTAATTTCGAAATTAACAAACTAGGGTTTAGGAGTTACATACCTTTCAATTGTTATAGCAAACAATTGATAATCCTCTTGATCTTGATCTTGATCTTCTTGGAAGCTTAGCACCACAAATGTCATGCCTCTAATGGAATCACACCCAAGAACTAGCAAGAAGGAAACTTGGAGGAGAGAGGATGGAGAGAGTATGCAATTTCGGCTTTTGGGTTTCTTCCAAAGAAACCAGTTACCTTAAATGTGAGCCAGGAGGCTTCTTAAATAGTTGAGGTATCTAGGGTTTAGGGAAAACCCTAATTATCCTTTGGTTAGGGCCTAAGCAAAACCCAAGGGCCTTATCTGGACCCCTTGGACGAAATCTCTAGGGTTTCCCCTATGGATTTCGTCCACCTCCATCCAAGGAGGTTCTGGATCCTTTCATTCAACTATTAGTTAATTGCAAACTAGTTCCTGCACTTTATAATTAATTCTTTTAACCCCAAAATTAATTCTGATTAATTTCTGGCTAACTATTAATTAAACATAATAATTTCTAATTAATATATTAATCTATTAACATATTAATAAATCATTTATATATTAATTTATTAATCTTATAAATTAATATCTCTCCTTTCATAATTTCCTTGTCCAGTTGCTAGGTTGAGGGTAACCCAAAAGGACTGTGCTGCTATCAATTCAAGTACATACCAATTATAGTTATTGGCTTAGACACCTAATCCAACAATTTGGACATCTTCACCATCACAACCACTCACGCCATCTCCAACCTCCGTCAACCACCAACGCCTGAAAACGCATCTCCGAGAAGCACGCCAAACCCCTACATCAACACCACTGATTCTCCCTTCTCCAACATTTTTCTATATGTATCGCGATCTAGAAACCCTAACCCTATCCCCACCCCTCTTCATTTCCGCTGTCACCACCAATATCCAATTCTATCGATACTGCTAGAGCATCACGTAATCATCTCTATATCTCTCTCGATTAACTGAAGTAAGTAAAAAATCCATTTTTTTGTTTTTATTTTCTACCGTACAAGTGTTTGCTGCTTCCCAGTCGCACATGGTCGAATTCTTATCGGTAAAGATCTTGGTTTTTGTTCAGTTGTAGATTTCTTGTGCAAAAAAGTGTTATTTTGTGGTTCTTAAGGCTGTATTTCAGGTTAGTTGTTTCTTTCTTCTCAAGAAAAACGTCCTCCTTCTGTTTCTTCTTCTTCTTCTTATTTTCTTCATATCCTTCAAAGCAGCACAGGTTCTACTCTACAGTGAAAAAAGTTAAAAATCGACATGTAAGCTTAGTCTTTATTTTACTTTAGCTTATGTGGAAGGTAGCGTTTTTATGTAGTAATATACAGAGGTGGAGGTTACACTTCTCACTAATCTATTCATTTCTTCAAGTTTTGTAGATACTGAGAATTTAAGACCACTGATTTAAGTTTCTGCCAATTTGAAGTAGGATATGTTTGTTTTTTTCTTGTTTAAATGGTTGATTCAAGATTCCAGTTACATGATCATTTATTTTGGGGATGGAAATCATCACCCACCCCTTTGCCTATTTGTCTGCAAATTTGTGTTTAACCATCTATGTGTGTCGATTTGATGGATTCGGGTCTACATCTGCATACCACAATCATCAATTTTAACACACACACATACACGAAACATCAGCTTTCTCTTTATTTCTGGTCACTCAAACACCTCACCGCCATCAACAAAACAAAACTCTCTTTCTGGTAATATCTATATTCACATCAAAAGTATCAATTTTTGAAGATTTGGGTTTACGGTATGATTATGTTTATTGGGGTTCTAATCACCCGAAATACCACCGTCGTCGCCGCCTCCATATATGGTTATTTCATTGTTGTTTTTTGAAATCATATGCATATCAAGGTAAAGATTTTCCTGATTTTTTTTTAATTTCAAGTGTGGAGTTTTAGGAATTTTGCATCAGCTTGAATAGTTGCGATGGCTAGGGAATTCTTTCTCTATATGTCTTGGCGCACACACACAAACCACTACTACACACCCTTTCTTTCTATGTCTAGGGTTGTGAATATCCGCAGAAGTGTTGAACAAATCTGCAATTTGTTGATTTCATTTTGCGATTTTGAACTATAATCTTCATTTTATCGGTAATCTCAAGTAGCTTCATGGATTTTAATATTTGTTTTTCGTTTTTATTACAGGTTACATGATAATTTTTTGCAGGTTACCGGCAAACCCAAGTTGCTTCCAATCATTCTGTTAATCGAGTTATTCATCTCCAGTCGGACGTCTAAGACCTAGGATGTAAGATTTTACTCTTTTGATATTGTTCAACCTTCAAAAATGAAGTTTTGTTCTTAGATTTTTTAGTTGCTAAGGGAATTGGTTCAACAATTTTTCTAGCTTTGATACATTAGGTATGCACGCCATGTGTTCGATGAAATGTTTGGGGAAGGCATCTATCATCTTTATTGTTTTGAGTCTTAAATTGACTTTAGTTTTTTATTAGTACTAATTCACCTAATGGTCAACGGTGTTGGTATTACAACAACTATTCAGCACCAGGAACCTATTGAATTATAGTTAGATATTTACTGATAATTGTAAGTTTATAAAGTTGCATTTGTGGAATTTATTTAATAGAAGCACTATCCCCATACTTCTAAATTTTTAAATGGTGATGTCTAATACTCTAATGGCAAGAAATCGTATCAATTTGATTTCAAATTTTAGGTTGGCTTTTGTAAGTGTTATATTCTCAGTAAGAACCTATATCGTCAATTTTATAGTGGTGGCACAAGTAAAGTTGGGAAGAAATCTAAGAATGCATTTTTAATATGTTTTGAAATAATTTAAAGTAAATTATTATTCAATGATAACAAAGATTTTGGTTGTAGATATGGTTGTACTAGCAGGAGATGCCATTGGTGAAATGAATGGAACCCACATGACCAGTTCAAGTGTTTTCCATCAAACAAACAAGTAATAGATATTTTTCAGTTGGCATATCAACATATGTAATTTAAAGTATGCCCCTCAAATGTTCGTTCTAATGATACCAACATCCATTTAGAAATTTGCAGATAAGTGAAGCATTAGCAATACAGATGCAAATTGAAGTTCAAAGGAGGCTGCATGAACAAATTGAGGTACAAAAACATAGAAATGTTTATGGTTATATTTTTATATTATTTAATCTTAAATAGGTACAGAGACACTTACAGCTTTGAATATAAGTACGAGGGAAATACTTACAATCAGTTGTTGAAAAAGCACAGAGACCATTGGAAGCCAAAACTTAGGCACAGTTGGACTAGAGTTTACAAAAGTTTAACTATCAGAATTGGTCTCAAAAGTATCTACTCAGAGCACAAATGTTTGGTTAGAAGAGAGAAGCATGGAGTAATCAGAGCACAGATATTTGGTCAGCTAAGCAGTGGCCTTGAATTTGCCCCACTTTGTTATCTTCCTGGTTGGTCTACAAGGTGTTGGGAAGACATCACTTACTGAAAAATTAGCTTTGTACCTCAAGGTATACTTTTCTTCTATATATTCTATCAAAATATAGTTTCTTACTCAGTTTTCCATTAGAGACTAAGACACCATTTTCCAGCTAGATTAAGAATTCTTAAGAAACCATGATCCAAATCTCTTCAGTTATACTCCAGATCTTATAACTCTTGTATTTTTCTTATTCTACATTAAAAAAAGTATCGTATATAGAAAAATCCCAAAAAGTTTCCACATATTGGTTGTGAGATCTGTTCGGTTGGCAGGGATGCCAAGTGTGGCCTTTACCCTACAAAACTTGGAAGACATGATCTTTGTAGGTCAACTTTTAGCAAAATCTCAAGAACAACGGTTAAAAATGATGAAGTTTTTCCAAACATCAGATGGTCTTTTTGAAGTAGAATACACATATATGTCATTTTTACCGAATATTTCTCTAAATGTCTGTTCAAAAGCAAAGAATGAAACAAATCAAGTTTGTCCTCCTTCTTGCATAGTTTTTAGTATTTGTATTTTTTTAGAGTTTAATCGATGTTTCTTATTTAATTTGGTATTATTTTAAGTTGAGTAAAAATACAAACACACTTTCTAAAAAGAGAAAGGCGTTCTCACATGCCACGTTTTGTTCTATTTTTGATAACTTCCTATTGTAGGGGACATTATTTGGTCTGAAGAAGCAGCAATAAGGTGAAAAGGAGGGATGAGGCAGTGACATCAATTGAAATCTATGAGATGGGTCAGGTAATCTAGGTTTTTCATGGTATTTGGTATTTGATTTTAATTTATAATTGATAGTAGAGGGGAAATTTCAAATCTAAGTTTTTTACCTTTTTGCCCCCAATAGAAAGTTAATAATTAGAAAAAGATGAAAATGATTACCACAGAGTAGCAAATTGGCAAGGAGCAGTGGTTGAGATTATAGCTAAGATTATACTTAAGACATATGCTAATTTTGGGTGACATACAAAAGCAAATTGTGATGTAGGGCTGTGTTCATAGATGTGAATGAGAATGGATATGACTAATGGTATTTTGCTGGACATGATCTCCAATAATTTGATTCACTTTATCCAAATCTGCTAAAATCATGTAATGTTCTTTTTTATGTCAAAATGTATTATTCTTTATTTGTTTCTAATATAGACGATATTGGAGTGACGAAAATAAATAAATATTGTGTGTATTTGTATTTTATTTATTACCGTCTTTCTATACCATTATAATCATTTAGTCGTATTTCTAATAATGTGATGGACCATTCAAATGAAAATTCGATATAAGATTGATTAAATGGGTAAATTACAAGTTATTTTCAATGGTTCTGTTATTCATTACATCCATTTCTTAAAAAAAAATGAAAGTTCAACAAATAATAAGTAATTTTGAATTAAATGTGTCAAGTTATTTACGTTAAGTTTTAAATTTGAAATTATAATAACAGATAGTTAAATCTTATAAACTTTTTCTTAGAATGATTATACATGATATATGGTAGTGGTAGGTGTTATTCATGATATATTAATTTAAGTTACTATTAGTAGATTATAAAAGTATATCACGAGATGATAAATAGCTGATTTATTTACATAACAATTGTTAAATACTCGAATCAAATGGCTTAATTACAACATGGGTTCGAGCAAAATAAATTACAAGTTCAATTCATTTAACTAATCTTGCTCAAAATCTTTTACAACATGGTCTATATTTCGCTGCATTGCGCGGTTTCGAATAAAAGAACGAAACTCGCAAACCTATGCGACAACAGACTTGCAAGTCGATGTATTGGTTGTACGTCTGAATACGACATGTTTTCACAGGAACTGTTCACTTAAAGAAATTTATGTGTCGAAAATAACCTTTTCATCGTCGCCTTTTTGCGCATGTACGCATATACTAGAAACGTACTTTCAAATACTACATGTTGGTTACGGTGTTCAATTCGAACGAACAACTAAAATCCAATGTCATACAATTATTTACATACATTAATGATATATTTAAATGGTGAATGATATTTATAATTCATTTTGTGTTCCTTAGAATCAAATAAATTATCATGAAATATACATCAAATGCGGTGTATAAAGAAAAGTTGCATAATTAATAATGCACAAGCAACCACGTGTTCGTGTATATTTATAAACAATCCCGGTTTTTCATTTTTAAGTCTTACTAATTTCATTTATGCTAGCGTGTCTATTGATAATTGTTTAGATGTATTAAACTATCTGCGCAAAATAATTAATCGCCTCTAAAACTAATTTCTGAAAGCAATTATTCGCACCCGTCGCTTGGCACGGGTAACGGCTAGTATATATATATATATATATATATATATATATATATATTAGATTTGTTTAAATGGTTTGGATTTCATTCTACTTTAATGGCTAGTTATAAAACACGCGGGCATAAGAAACAATCGATATATTCAAGTTAGTTTGAAGTGGATAAAAGTTTGACAAATTTAGTCAAAGAATTATGGATATTTATTGCTATTTACAGTTTGCTTCGTGCCAAAGAATACGTCGTACATACGTGTCAAAATTTTGAGATACGTGTTAACGACGATGCATATTAATATATAAGACATTCATGAATAAATTCAGTATAAATAGCCACCTTTTATGAAGTTTAAATCACACATCCATATCAAGGGAATAGAAGGATTGTGGAACGCAATTTAAGATAATATTTCAAGAGATTGAGGAATGACGTTAGGAACTACTTGGAAGTGAGATATACATTCGTCAAATCATGTGAGTACATAGTTACTTTCATCTTAGACATAAATATGAAGTATTTAATATAAATTACGTACTGTGTGTGCATATTATCTGTATACTTGCTATCTATGCTGGATGAAGAATTTTATACATGTTTTAAATTATTTAAACTGTATATGTATCTTTATCTACAAATATATTGGGTATAACATGGGTAGATAGTTGATGTGTGATGAAATAAAATGATGAGAGGTCTCGATGTTATTGTGATCCAGCCATCTAGCGGAGTATGGATGATGACCACAGACTTTTCTAGATAGTCCTGTGGAACGCTGGCAGGCTCGCAACCTGTAGGTGTTAATGAGCGTGGGTGTTCATTTGCTGTACTACATCCCCCACATGGTTGCCTTATTTGACATAAATTGCTGGGAAACCCCCAAAGCAGTGTTGTTGCCCCGATGAAAATCCTTAGACTAGGTCCCTTGTGATAGTTGTTTTAGGTACGTAAAGTGAGGATAACGGGAATGGGTAATCGGGTTATTGTTGTTTGATGAAATTAATAAATTTATTTATTGTGGGTTGAAAACCCTATATGCTCACCAGGCTCCCAAGTCTGACCCACTCAGTTTTCTTTGGATTACAGGTAGTGGCGCGAGAGCATAAGTTGAACGACTTATCAAGATATTTTGATTATAGGCCTGTAGTGTATATAACTGTTGTAAGGCTTATAATGTGTCGTTTATGCTTTTGGTCTGTATCGGAACATGACATCCCGAGTTTTGTTATATAATGAAAATACATTTCTTTAATAAATGCTTTGGTAAATCTTATTTTATCATATTTCGTTTTGGGAACAAATTCCGCAACTCTTCTAATCAAAGGATTACTCTGAAATTATTTTAAAAGCATAAATTAAACCGGTCTTTTCTGGCCGTGAATTTGGGGATGTTAACGTGGAATCAGAAATCGAGTTTCCTTTCACACTTTGGGTCTCCCCCACTTGGGTTTGAACCCTCGCTTTCCTTCTTCACATAACCAATCAAAACCTAGGTTGGCTTGGTCTCTATGATTGGTGTTTTTCTTTCTGCTTGAAAGAAACTCCTGATTGTCACCATGGCAGATGAGGGTCGTAATATTAGCAGCAACGACGGTTGCTGAAATTAATGTTTCTCTTCCTCCTTTCTAATATGATTAACCTTGTCGTGCTTCACTTGATTATAATTAAGGTAATTAGATACTGAAGTACTACTAACTTCCTCATCTGTATCCCTTATATAAAAATCACCATTGTTGCGATTTTCCCAACGAGTATCAGACTTTTGGACTTCTGCTGGCGGTGCTCATTTCGCACTCGTATCTTAATTTTCTATTGGACCTTCGGTCCATATCTTTGAGTTATAAATTCAATATTAATTTGAGACTCTTGCTCCTTCTCGAATTTAGCTAAAGACTAAGCCTAAGATGAGTTCTATACTCCAGCTACAGTAACATGCCGAATGGTCATATTCTAATGACCTTCTATTGTGTGGTGCATGCAATGCACGTTGAAATGGACTCTTGTCTCTGAAATTCCTACTACTGAGAATAACTTCCTTCATTTTCTAATGTGACCCAACCACAATATAGAAAGTAGTACTTCTATCTACCGGTTGCTTGGTCTTAACGAAGGCTTCAATCTTTTTGTCGATTGCCTTGATATCTTCCTCCGATCTATCGAACAGGTTTGGTTAGTATATGGACATGGTCCTCAGAACCAATTGACTTACTTCACAGATTTAAACTATTTGGACTCAGTTCTTCATGACCATCATGTTCGGAATGAAAATTGTCTTCTTAGTAATTACCGAAACAAAGGTAATGAGAGAAATGAACAAACTTGACTCAGATACTAGTTTCTCGGTAACCTTGCGACTCGTCCTAATCCAAGTGTGAGTCCTATGCTTTCGGTATTATAGAGCTCTACTACCTTTTACACTTATTCATACTCGTCCCAAGAATTGTTTCATAGTTCTCCAAGTCACCATACGAGAACGAAATCATGTAGCAATTGAACACATTGGGTACTATAACATAATTAGAGATTTTTTATAACTTCTGAAATGGTTACAATCATATTCAAAGTTTATTATACTTTATGACTCATATATCAGGCTACATACTAAAATACTATCTAATTTGAAAGACCACTCTATGTCTTGAATTTCCTGGATAAGCAGCTTCCTTCTATTGACTCCCTGAAGCAATGTATGCTTCCTCTCTTACAGTGCTGAGAGTCATCTAAAATGCTCGTGTAGCTACCTTCCTGCTTGGGCGGTCCTTCATCACATGCCCTTCTTTCCTACATTTGAAACATATATTCTCAAAATGTATGCATTCATTAGCATAGTGCCCAGTCATTCCGCACTCATAACAGACTATATCCCTTTTGCATTGACCAAAGTGCTTCTTTATGCATTCTTTACACCAGTTCGCCCGATTATTTTCTCCATGTTTCTTGCCACTGGGGCTAGGTTCAGATGACCTATTCTTTTTATTAGATGTCAAGGATTCTTCAATCTTCCTCTTCCCTCTAACTTATGCATTGTCATTTATTATCCCTTTCACTACATCTTCCAAGGATTTGGCAACTCAGATGGCTACTTCCAAAGGTGTTGCTAGTTTTACCATTGGAACGAAATCTGTTGGTAGTCCATTAGAGAATTTCTCTATCTTGGAGAGTTCTTTAGGAGTTAGGTTTGGAACCAACTCCCTTAGCGAATTTCTAGAAGGTCTCTGTCCAAGAGGTATTCTCTTTTTAACTGTACAAGGACGTCCTCCCATGAAATCTTCCTTTGTTCTCCTTTTGGCATGGTTTTAGCCAATCTTTTCCACCAACTCAATCATTCATTCTTTAGTTGTCTGGCTACAAAGATAGTTTTTCGTTTGTTTCTATAGTCGTAGCTTGTAAACACCATTTCCATTTCACGGATCCATTTAACACAGGTTTGATAACCGGTGTACTGACTTCTCTCCTGTCTTCTTGGAGTAGTTGTCTGGTTTCTTCTACTAACATTGCCCAAATCATAGCTTCAACTCCCGCCATTGTGACAGGTTCAACTATTGGTACCACTGTAGGTGCCTGCTCGATCACACGAGGCTCAGGCTGTCGGTTTCCATTATCATTCCCCAATCCGCTACGTGTTCTCATTATGACGTTCTATACACCAAAGTAGGCATTCAGTGTATCGAGAGAAGAGTTTATTAAGATAGAGAAGGTTTTATTATTTTTTAGACGTATAGATCCTCCTTATTTCCCCGAAAAGTTTCATGCCAGTTCTAATACAATAAGTATTGTTTAGAAGCCTAAACCCATAAAATTTCCTTTCTTTCTTGACAAGGTCGGCAATAGACCTTAATTTCTATTAATAGCAATCTAGCTAAGCACCTAAGGCATGTTATGTC